TTTCGGGGCGCGAGTATCTCGTAATTTACAACGGGTTATGGTTTCGGGGGCGCGAACATTGTATACGTTATATGGGTTTATGGTCTCGGGGATGCGGGTGTTGTGTAATCTACAAGGGTTCATGGCCTTGGGGACACGAACGTGATGTAATCTACATGGGCTCATGGCCTCGGGGACGCGAACATGGTTTAATTTGCCAGGGTTCATGGCTTCGGGGACGCGACTATTTTCTAATTTTCAAAGGCTTATGGCCTCGAAGACGCGACTACCGCGTGATTTACGAAGGTTTCTGGTTTCGGGGACGAGCATCGCTTGTCTAATTTTCGAAGGTGTATGGCTTCAGGGGCGCGAGTCTCAAGTATTTGTACGGGTCCCACGGCCTCCCCAGGAAACCCGAGGAATTCTGAGAACCCTCCAGGGACGCGGTAAAAAAATCCCGTTTGGGGCTTCCACCGTTCGTTCGGACAGCAACAATTTACAGCGAGGGTGCAGAAGGCAAGACTATAACAGTGGAAATGGAAAGTGCAACTGGAACAGGGAGCTGCAATCTTCACCCTCGCAGCCTGGTGGCCCCGCAAGGGGGCCGGCGCATTCGGATGAGCATGGGGAGGAGCAGGAGGATGAGGATGAGGATGAGGATGAGGATGAGGATGAGGAGGAGGAGGAGGAGGAGGAGGAGGAGGAGGAGGAGGAGGAAGAGGAGGAGGAGGTAGAGGATGAGGAGGATGAGGATGGTGATAGTGCTATTACTTCCCCGACTCATGCCTGGATCCCCCACCCCCCCGGCCGGATTGTTTTTTTGTTTTTTCGGCGGGGTGTCGTTTTTCGCGGCGATTGGAATTTTTGTTATTGATTAGAATACACTGCTACTTGAGTACGACGAATACTAGCGTGTATTAGCGTGCAGCTAATACTAGAGTGCGCGTGGTCCTAAAGTATATCATGAGGGAAACTTGATCAGCTGCAGGTGTGTGATCAAGTCGTATCACAGTCGAATAAGCAATTCCAATGCAAGCGCGAGCACAACTTGACACAACTTTAGTACAACTACGTCTAGAGTGTTGCTGCATTGTATTTACAATCTGGGCTCTCGCGTTTTTCCTCTGGTTGCGCCAGGGGGGGGGGGGGGACCCCCACGCGCGAACACCCCCGCGGCTGAGAGTTTATTCTTCGTCCAAAATCTGAGACGGGGGCGACCCCCGTGCTCGAACCCCTCGCCAGGGATCACATGTTTCTTTCGCGGGAACCTGACCTCCTGGGTTGGTCGCCGCGCCCCTGAAGTTTTTCATTCCGCACGGGCCCCCATGGGTCCCACGTTTGAGTTGGCCGGGTGATAGTGATGGTGACGATGACGATGACGATGATGAACATAATGATGGTGATGATGACGATGATGATGATGATGATGATGATGATGGCGATGGTGATGGTGATGGTGGTGATGATGATGGTGATGTGAAGGATGATGATGATGATGACGATGATGATGGTAGTGGTGGTGGTGGTGACGATCAAGACGATGATGATGACGATGATGATGTTGATGATGATGATGGTGATGAGGATGAGGATGAGGATGATGATTATTGTGGTGTGATGATGATGTTGATTATGAGTATGATGATAATGATGATGATGATGATGATGATGATGATGATGATGATGATGATGATGATGATGGTGATGTTGTTAATGATCCGTATGATGATGCCGATGATGATGCTAATGGTGATGCTGATGATTGTGGTGGTGATGGTGGTGGTGATGATGGTGGTGGTGATGATAATGATCATTACGATAGCGACGACGCACGAATGGTAGGCTGCTGGCAACGACGATTAGGAGTGCAAAGATCATGCTGTTCCTGATGGCAAGAACTATGATGATGCTGGTGGCGAACATGATGAGGGTGGTGATGATGGCTGTGGTGGTGATGATGTTGACATTCACGATGACTTCTGCGATTCTCATTGGCGTTGGGGAAGAAGAGGTGGAGGAGAAGGATGGGCGAGACGCCTTCAAGAGAGGTGATAGCCCAAGATGGTCCCAGAGAGCCTCGGAGTGGCAGCCACTTCCGCAGGAGAAGGAGGAGGAGCAGGGATGCCCTGTTCGGTTCTGTTCGGTCAGGTCCCGAAGTGCCTCCAGTTCGGTTCTGTTCGGTTCGGTGTCGGACCCTTTGCGGGTTCGGTTCGGTTCGGTTCGTCGCTGTGATTTTTTTTTCGCCGGGTTCGGCCCAGTTCGCTGTGCGTTTGGTTCCGGTTCGGATGTGGCGAGCTCGGCGACAGCGCAGTGCGTCGCGGCGGCCCGGTTCGGGGTAGGCCCGGCTCCAGCCCGGTCCGATCCGATTTCGATGCGTCTGGTCCGATCCCCCTGGCTTTTTCCAGCTTCGATTCCCACGCGGCGGGCGGATGCCGATTCTCGGGTGTTGCCAGAAGTGCCCCTGGGCCAAGGTGCCCCCAGGATTTCCAGGAAGGCCCCCACGGCCTCCAGAGCACCCCTCTCGAGGCCCAGAGGGCCCCAGGGGCTTCAAACTTGATCGAAAAGCTGGAGGCACCTTGGGCCAGGGGCACCTTTAGCAACCCCCGAGATTCGGATTCCGATCCGAATGAGCAGGGACGAGGAAATGGCGACGACGATCGGGCGAAGAGAACTGTGCACATGCACCGATCCTGGCAAGGCCCACCCTTGACCCAGGATCGGTGCATGCGCCTTCCTGGCCAAGGCAGGAGGGCGTATGCACCGATCCTGGGCTCAGGATGGGCCTGGCCAGAATCGGTGTATGGGCATAGTTCTCTTTCCTCTAGACGACGGGCCCCGGATGGGACCCTGGGGAGGTCCCCGGGGGGGGGGGGCAGCCAGCGTCGTCCGTCGTCGTCGCGGCGCTGGCTGCTGCTGCCGCCGCCGCTGGCTGCCGCCGAGGGCCTCCAGCGGGCCCCGGAGCATTCTTTTTTGTTGTTGTTTCTTGGGTGGTTTCGCGCGGGCCGGGCCCCGGGGCCGAAAACAACGACTCAGAGAAAAACCATCCAGTCTGGAGTCGTCGGTGGCCCCGGGGGGGTTCGGCCGGCGTCGTCCGTCGTCGTCCCAGGCCTCCGACGATTTGAAAATCAAGGAGGCGTTTTTTTGATAGTCTTCCTGTTTTCTGGATGCTTTTCAACCGTGGAGGCGAGCGACGCGCCATCCGCTCGCAGGGCATAGCGTGTCGCCGGGGCCGCCGCCATACACGCTGAGGGACAGTTCCCGACCGCAAGTGTTTCCGCCTGCCGACTACGAGCGAGGAGGAGGAGGAGGAGGAGGAGGCGGAGGAGGATGAAGGAGGAGGAGGAGGAGGGAGGAGGAGGAGGAGGAGGAGGAGGAGGAGGAGGAGGAGGAGGAGGAGGAAGAGGGAGGAGGCGGAGGGAGGATGAGGCCCCCGATCATCCTTGCAGTACACCGCGTCCTGGTGCCTGAGGCCGCTTGCGCGTTCCCGCCCGGCCGCCTCTCGTCGTCGCAGCGCTGGCTGCTGCTGCCGCCGCCGCTGGCTGCCGCCGAGGGCCTCCCACGGGCCCTGGAGCATTTTTTTGTTTCTTTGTTGGTTTCGAGCGGGCCGGGCCACGGGGCCGAAAAACAAAGACTCAGTACTACCATTAAGTCGGGCCTGTCCCTCTACAGGGGGAATGTTCAAAAATAGTCCAAAAATCGTATGGGTACTATTGTTTGATTATTTTTTGACCATTTTGGAGTATTGTTGTGGTATTTGTTATTTTTCGTCGAAAATCCCCCTGTCGGGGGACACGCCCGACTTAATACTACCAACAAACCCATCCCCGTCTGGAGTCGTCGGGGGCGGGGGCCCCGGGGGGGAGGTCGGTCCGCTTCGGTCCGGTTCGGGGGGGAAGTTCGGCCCGGTTCGGAGTCAAAAACGAAGCCGGTTCGGTTCGGTTCTGTTCGAATGTCAAAAACGGCCGGTTCGGTTCGCGTTGAAAATCACACCGGTTCGCCTCGGTTCGGTTCGGCCCAGTTCGGTTCGGCCGGTTCGGTTCGGTTCGACGGCCACCTTGGAGGAGGAGGAGGAGGAGGAGGAGGAGGAGGAGGAGAAATTGAGCAGGGGAGGAGGAGAGAGGCGGAGGAGAAGCAGGAGCAGGAGGAGGAGGCAGAAGGAGGAGGAAGTAGGAAGAGGAGGAGGAGACCGAGGAGGGGAGACAGAGGAGGAGGGAGGAGGAGGAGGAGGGGGCGGCAGGAGGAGGAGGAGCGGGGTGAGGAGGAGGAGGAGGACGAGAGGAGAAGAAGAGGAGAAGAAGATTGGAAGGAGGAGGGAGGAGAGGGAAGAGGAGGAGGATGAGGAGTTGGAGGGAGGAAGAGGAGGAAGAGGAGAGGAAGAGGAGGAGGAGGAGGAAGGAGAGGAGGAGGAGGAGGAGGAGGAGGAGGAGGGAGGAGGAGGACAAGACAGTGGAACCCCTTCGTCTTCGGCCCCGCATTCGCCCCTTCTCGGCCTTCTCGGGCTGCCCTTCTCGGCCTTTTCCTCCTCCTCCTCCTCCTCCTTCGTTTGAGTCGGGCACGTCCCTCTACAAGGGGACGATTCAAACATAACAAACAATAAAAAGAGGCTGGGGACGTTTTTTTTGGGGGGGATTTTGGGCATTCGGGGGCATTTCGTGAGTATCTTTAATTTTTCGCCCGACATCCCCCTATAGGGGGACACGCCCGACTTAAGCCTACTTCCTGTCGCTGTTCTCGTCACCCTACACATCCCTGCCGCTCCTCTTCCTCCTCGACCTCCTCCTCCTCCTCCTTTTCCTCGCGCTTCCAATTCCTTGCGTCGTCCTCCTGTCCCCTTCCTCCTCCTCCCCCTCCTCCTCCTCCGAGAAGTCCCCAAAGGCCCCAGGAAGTTCCCAGAGGCCCCCGGAAACGCAACAAATGCCAGATACGCCCGCCCACCTCGAGGTCCCCGATCCCCTTCCAGAGCGAGGATCGAGGCCAGGACGGCGGGATCGAGTGGACCCTTCCCCTGTGGCCCCGGCGAGGTCATGGGGCCCGGCGAGCCGTACGACTTTCAGCGGAGCCCGCGCTCCGCCATGCCCGTCGTGTGCGTCGGGTGCTCCCCCGCCCCCCCCCTCGGCCCCCCGCCTTCGACCCGCCTCCACAGTCCGCCCAGACGGAGCGGGGGAGGGAGGGAGGGAGCGGGGGAGGGAGGGACGGGGAAGGACGGTGAGGGAGGGAGGGAGGGAGGGAGCGGGGGAGGGATGAGGAGGGAGGCAGGGAGGGAGGGAGGGAGGGAGGGAGCAGGGGAGGGATGGAGGGAGGACGGGGAGGAGGGAAGGGAGGGAGGGAGCGGGGGAGGGGGGGAGGGAGGGAGGGAGGGAGGGAGGAGGAGAAGGATGATCCAGGATCAAAGTTGCTGGAATTCGTCTGACGGGCGTCGCTCTCTGTCGCTGGCCCCCCCTCACAATGCTTGCGTCGCTGTGCTCGGTTGGTAGGTTGGTTGGTCTTCCTCCCCACATCCTGGACACCCCCGCGCAATAACCTCACCCAACCCCCCTTCCTTCTCACCCTCCTTCCTTCACCATCACCACCACCACCACCACCACCACCACCACCACCATCATCATCATCATCATCATCATCATCATCATCATCATCATCATCATCATCATCATCATCATCATCATCATCATCATCATCATCGTCGTCGTCGTCGTCGTCATCATCATCATCATTATCATCATCATCATCATCAGCATCATCATCATTTTCATCATCAGCTTCATCATCATCGTCATCGTTGTCGTCATCGTCATCATCATCATCGTCGTCGCCATTCATCATCATTATCATTATCACCATCATAATCACCATCATCATCGCCATCACCATCATCATCAGCATCATCATCATCATCATCGCCATCATCATCACCATCCTTATCGGCAGCAGCATCATCAGCATCATCATCAGCAGCAGCATCAGCATCATCAGCAGCAGCAGCCGAAACACCACCATCATCACCACCACCATCATCAGCAGCAGCAGTATCATCATCGCCATCGTCATCGTCATCGTCGTCATCAGCCTTATCATTTTCATCATCCTAAGTACAATCATAATCATGATCATAATCATAATCAGAATAATCACAGTCAGTCACTCCTGCGCCCTGCATCTGCAAGAAGGCTCGAGCGGGAATCTCGTCTTTGAGCGAATCGTGAGGACGTCTTGAGTTGGAGCTCCCTCCGTTTGGGGGGCGCGCTTCATGTTAGCGAGTCGAGCGGGTCATGCACTTGTGGGTTCCCGAGGCTCGAATCTGGAGGCATTCTCGTGCAGGAGCCTCGCCTGCAAGGTGAATTGCGAGGACGTCTCCAGCGGGAGCTCCCTCCCTATCGAGCCCTCTCCATCTTACAACAGCAGTCCGAGTGGTTCATTCAGATGCTGCAGATGTACTCTTTCTTGCGCTCCGGAGGCTTGAATCTGGAGGAAGTCTCGAGCGAGAGCCTCGTCTGTGAGTGAACTACGAGGGCGTCTCGAGCGGGGAGCTCCCTCCCTGTGGGGTCCTCGCTTCGTGTTGTAGTCCTAGCGGGTCCTACAGATCCTGCAACTCTTCACTTTTGGGCTCCTGAGGCTTGAATCGCGAGGAGATCTGCAAAGGTTCCCGATCCGGTGGCGGGAGAGGGAACCTGCAAAGGATCCCTGTCCCGCCTGGGGTCCGCTGGAAAAGAAACCTGCAACGGCTTCTGGTCCAGTGGCTGGAAATGGACCCTGCAAAGGCTTCCCCTGTCCCACTCGGGGGCCGCCGGAGAGGAAACCTGCAAAGGCTTCCTGTCCAGTGGCAGGAGAGGGAACCTGCAAAGGCTCCCCGTCCCGCTTGGGGGCCGCGCAAGGGAAATTTGCACAGGCTTGGAAGAGGGAACTTTCGGGCGGGGCTAGGACGAGGATCAATCCGTTCCAGAGCGTTCTGGAGCGCTCTGAGAAGGCCGCGGCGCCCGAGACATCTTCCAGACCTGCCAGATCTCATAGATTCTCGATTTTTTTCAACCGATGTTATCCTCGTCCTGGCCCCCTGAGGCCTCAGGAAGCTCCAGCAGTCCCCAGGAGGCAGCAGGAAGTCCCAAGAGGAAGCAGGAAGCCTCAGGAGGAGGGGGTTCCCGGGAGGAGGAGGAGGAGGAGGAGGAGAAGGAGGAGGAGGAGGAAGATGAGGAGGCGGAGGAGGAGGAGCAGGAGGAGCAGGAGGAGCAGGAGGAGCAGGGAGGAGGGAGGAGGCCAGAGGAGTCGTCGGCGGCGGAGGAGGAGAGTGAGGCAGGAAGAAGAGGATGAGGAAGAAGGAAGAGGAGGAGGAGGAGGAGGAGGAGGAGGAGGAGGAGGAGGAGGGGGAGGAGGAGGAGGAGGAGGTGGATGAGGCTGGAGGAGGAGGAGGGAGGAGGAGGACAAAGAGGAGGAGGAGGCAGGAGACAGGAGGCATGAGGAGGAGGAGGAGGAGGAGAAGAAGGAGGAGGTGGAGGATGCAGGAACAGGAGGACGAGGCAGGAGGCAGGAGGCAGGAGGCAGGAGGAGGAGGAGGAGGAGTGAGGAGGAGGAGGCGGAGGAGGAGGAGGAGGAGGAGGAGGAGCAGGAGGCATAAGGAGGCGTAATCAAGAGGAGACGGCAGGAGGAGGGAGCATTTTGCCGCTGCGAAAGTCGAGCCGAAACCCAGCTCTCCCCGTTGGGCGGCGAGTCCCTCGCACAAGGTTGTCAACGGAGGACATGTCGAAAGGGGCCCCGTTTGGCGACGGGGCCCCAGTGCAATGTTGCCAGGGTGCGTCTCGCTGCTTCGTTTAGCGAAAGCATTCTCACGCAGTCTGGACTCAGGACCGGGAGTTTCGACGTCGGTTCGGGTCGAAAAGGTGTTTCTTTCTCCCCCGAGGAAGTCCCAAGCGAAAACTGCACCTGCGACTTTTCGGGCTACCGAATTTGACATGATGATTCCGCTCGAGACTTGTCGAACAAAACCGTTTCGACCGAAGTCGAAAGTTTCGGGTTTGAAGTCGGAATGGCGATTCCGCTCAAGGCTTCCTCCAGCACAGAAGTCGAAACCCATTCGGTTCGCAGTCGAAATGGCGATTTCGCCCAGAACTTCCTCCAAATCTCGCTTCGAAACCTTTCGAGCTCGACGTCGATTTGGGGGTTCAGCGTTGGATATCCTCCAACACAGAAATCGGAATGTTTTCGTTTCAAAGTCGAGCTGGCGATTTCCTTGGCGGAACCACGAAACGGATCAAAACATTCGCAGCGGCGATGTGTATCCTTCTGTGGTGTCGTGTGCCAGCGGTGCGGTCCTCTTGTGCTTCTTCTCTGGCACTGCGTGCTTTGGTTGGCATTTTGGTCGCTGCCTGCGTGGCTCTTGCTGTCTTTGTCCGTTCTGTCTGCACGCTTACCTGCAGCGCGCCTGGGGTTCGTTGGCCGCGTCCTCCTCTCCTCCTCGCGCAGGTCCCACGCCCCCCGCCCTCGCAGGTGCCGATTCCTCGTCGGTTTTGCTTGATGAGTGTTAGGACACCTGGGACAGCGGTCCTGCCCCGCTGCGTCGGGCAGCTGTCCAGTTGCGTGCGGCAAGTCCCGCCAACGTGCCAGCCCTCCACTATCGGAGGCACCGGCTTCAGGGGCGACGGGAGGCCGTAACACATGAATCGAGCGGCGGTTGGAGCACCGGTCAGGAAGCCGTCACGTGCCACGCCTCGGCCTTCTTCAGTTTATCGTGGATCATTTGGGGTTGTATTGGGGCCGAGTAGGAGGATGAAATTAACGATGAGGAGGAGGGGGATCATGAGGAGGAGGAGGAGGAGCAGGAGGAGGAGGAGGATTATAAGGAAATGAGCATCGTCGTGGGCGGGTGCAATGTGGGTCATGATGATGATGATGATGATGATGATGATGATGATGATGATGATGATGATGATGATGTTGATGTTGATGATGATGATGGTGGTGGTGGTGATGATGATGATGGTGATGATGATGATGACGACGATGATGGTGATGGTGATGGTGATGATGATGATGATGATGATGATGATGATGGTGGTGGTGGTGGTGATGATGATGATGATGGTGATGATGCTGATGCTGATGCTGATGCTGATGCTGATGCTGATGCTGATGCTGATGGTGAGGTGATGGTGATGGTGATGGTGATGATGCTGATGATGCTGATGATGTTGATGATGCTAATGATGCTGACGATGACGATGACGATGACGATGACGATGACGATGACGATGACGATGCCGATGACGATGATGATGATGATGATGATGATGATGATGATGATGATGATGATGATGATGGTGGTGATGGTGATGGTGATGGTGGTGATGGTGGTGATGGTGATGATGATGAGGGTGATGATGATGATGATGATGATGATGATGATGATGATGATGATGATGAGGATGAGGATGAGGATGAGGATGAGGATGAGGATGAGGATGAGGATGAGGATGAGGATGAGGATGAGGATGAGGATGAGGATGAGGATGAGGATGGATTTATTTTGGGCCATCTTGGAGGCTGTCTTCGGCTCCAATGTGGCAGTCTTGAGGCCCTCTTGGGCACTCTTGGGGCCCTCTTGGGCAGTCTCGAGGCGCTCGTGGGCTGTCTTGGGACTTTCTTGTCCGTCTGGGTGGGTGTATTGAGGCTGTCTTGGGCCAGAGGACCTCTTGGGCCAGCTTGGAGCTTTCTTGGGGCCGTCATGGGAAGTATTTCGAGGCCGTATTGGATAAATTCTTGGCGATTTGGTGGCCTTCGTGAGCCAACTTGGGGCCATGTGGGAGGCCTCTCTGGTCGTCTGGAGCTGAAGGGAGCTAGAAACGGTGGTGATGACGTCAATGTCTTCCAACAACCTTATTGGACAAACAATGATTTTGGCCTCTTCGGGCCCTGCTGGGGGTCCTCTTGCGGCCTTCTTGGGCCCTCTTGAGGTCATACTGGGCCGCCTTGGGGCCATCTTTGGCCATCCAGGAGGCATTTGGGGCCACCCTGGCTGCCTTGGAAGCTCGGGAGCGCGGGTTCATCGTTTTTGTCACGGATCGTGGCCTCGGGAGCCCGGACTGTTTTTTTGCTGAACAGGGCGTCTTGGCCCCTTGAGCACGGCCCACAGTTTTTGAGTAGGGGTCGTGGCTTCGGGGGCACGGACCTACTGTCTCTGTTTTCAGAGATCGTGGCCTCGGGAGGCGTGGTGGGTGCATGCAACATGTTGTTGGTGGAGGGCCCCTTACAGCCAAGACGCTGAAAGAAGGACCGCTTTGGGTTCGGACAGGGGCTCGGGGATGTGGGTCGCTTCTCAGACTTCTGTCGCGGGACTTGTGCTCGTGGCCTGGGCTTCCCGAGATCTTCCTCCAGATCTACCCCTAGATCTTCCCCCAGATCTTCCCCCCAGATCTGGGGGGGAAGATCTGGGGGATCGAGGTTCGAGGCCTTCTGGCCTTCGGGGGCGCGAAAAGCTGGCCTTCGAGGCATTCCGCCAAATCTTTTGCACGTCTTTCCCAGATCTTCTCCGCGCGTCCTTCTCCCAGATCTTCTCCGCGCGTCCTTCTCTCAGATCTTTCCCCAGATCTTCCCCTGAGTTTCCCCCAGATCTTCCTCCAGATCTTCCCCCGGATTCATCGCCAGCGTTTTCCCCCAGATTTTCCCCCAGATTTCCCCCAGATTTTCCCCCAGATCTTCCTCCAGATCTTTCCCCGAGTCTTCCCCCAGATCTTCCCCCGGATCTTTCCCGAGATCTTCCCCCAGATCTTCCCCCTGATCGTTCCCTAAAGCTTTCCCCAGATCTTCCCCCAGATCTTCCCCCAGATCTCCCCCCAGATCTTCCCCCAGATCTTCCCCCAGATCTCCCCCCAGATCTTCCCCAAGATCTTTCCCCAGATCTCCCCCCAGATCTTCCCCCAGATCTCCCTTCAGCTCTTCCTCCAGCTATTCCCCCAGATCCTCCCCCAGATCTTCACCCAGATCTTCCTCCAGATCTTCGCCCAGATCTTCCACCAGATATTACCCCATATTTTCTCCCAGGTCTTTCCCCAAATCTCTCCCCGGATGTTTTCCTAGATCTTCCCCAAGATCTTCCTCCAAATCGTCACCCAGATTTTTCCTCTGATCTTTCCCGATGTTGTCCCGCAGAGCTTTTTTTCCATGATTCACAAATATGTTCACCCAGATATTGAGTCAGATCTTCCCCCTGATGTTCCTCCAGATCGTCCTCCAAGTCTTCACCCAGATCTTCCCCCAGATGTTTCCCCATATCTTCTCCCTCAGATCTTTCTACAGATCTTCCCGCTAATATTGCTGCAGATTTGAGACGCACTACACCGCCAAATCTCCCTCAGCACATTCCCCAGATGTTCGCCCAGATCTTCCACCAGATCTTCCCGCAGATGTCCCTCCAGATCTTCCTCCAGATTTCCCGCCAAATATCATATCCGAGATGTTCCCTCAGATCTCCCCCAGATCTTCCGCCAAATATTCCTCCAGATTTATCGCTTTGCAACCGCGCCAAATCTTCCATGGGACACTCCCCAGATCTCCGGACAGATTTTCCCTCAGATATTCCCCCTGCTGTTCCAGGGCGTCCCTTGTTCTGTTTCATGCCGCGTCGCGGGTCCGGTCCTTGTTTTTCAAACTCCTAGTTTTGTTCTCTGCCTCGCTTCGAGGCTGCGATCTCTACGCGACAACCCAGAATTCAAAAATCCTCGTTTTTAGACTTCCTTGTTTTCCAACCTCCCTGCATGAACAGAGTGTTTCTCTCGAGACACCCGCGAACCGTCGCAGTTTTTCCACGACAGAGGAACGACGCGCAGGCCATCGCCCCGGGGGCATCCGCACTCGCAGACGAGCTGCGAGGGCGGAAAATGCGCATCTTCAGCGTCCTCCTCCTCCTCCTCCTCCTCCTCCTCCTCCTCCTCCTCCTCCTCCTCCTCCTCCTCCTCCTCCTCCTCCCTCCTCCTCCTCCTCCCCCCTCCTCCTCCTCCTCCTCCTCCTCCTCTCCTCCTCCTCCTCCTCCTCCTCCTCCTCCTCCTCCTCCTCCTCCTCCTCCTCCTCCCCTTCTCCTCCTCCTCCTCCTCCTCCTCCTTTCCTCCTCCTCCTCCTCCTCCTCCTCCTCCTCCTCCTCCCCTCCTCCTCCTCCTCCTCCCCCTCCTCCTCCTCCGCCTCCTCTCTCCTCCTTCCTCCTCCTCCTCCTCCTCTCCCCCTCCTCCTCCTCCTCCTCCTCTCCTCTCCTCCTCCTCCTCCTCCTCCTCCTCCTCCTCCTCCTCCTCCTCCTCCTCCTCTCCTCTCCTCCTCCTCCTCCTCCTCTTCCTCGTCCTCCTCCTCCTCCTCCTCCTCCTCCTCCTCCTCTCCCTCCTCCTCCTCCTCCCCCCTTCTACACCTCCTTCTCCTCGTCCTGCTCCTCCTCCTGCTCCTGCCCCACCCTTCTCTTCCTCCTCCTCCCCGCGAGGCCCGACAGATTCAAAGCACAGCCGGCGCGTATCGCAGGGAGGCGCGGTGAGGATGCACGCCCCCAGGACGCCTGGGTTGAAGTGCTCTGAGCTGGGGGTTGCCCGAGGATGGGCCGAACAGGCAAGGATGCAAGGGTGCCCTTGGGAAGGTCACTCAGCCTCACCGTGCGCGCTGAGTGTAGCGGATGCCCCCTGCTGAGGCGAATAGCCCAGACACCTTGCGCGAATGCGTTGTGATTAAACAAGCGCGCCGCGCCCCTCATTACTGATGGCGCCCCCTGCAACGACGGAGGAGGAGGAGGAGGAGGAGGAGGAGGAGGAGGAGGAGTAGGAGGAGGAGGAGGAGGAGGAGGAGGAAGAGCAGGAGGAGGATGAGGAGGAGGACGAGGAGAGGAGGAGGAGGAGGAGGAGGAGGAGGAGGAGGGAGGAGGAGGAGAGGAGGAAGGAGAGAAACCGGAGGAGGAGGAGGAGGAGAGGCGGAGGAGGAGGAGGGGAGGAGGAGGGGGGGAGGGGAGGAGGAGGGAGGAGGAGGAGGAGGAGGAGGAGGAGGAGGAGGGGAGGAGGAGGGACAGGGGGAGGAGGAGGAGGAGGAGGAGGAGGAGGAGGAGGAGGAGGAGGAGGAGTCCAGGGACAGCTGTGCAGCCTGCTTAGTCTTGCAGCCTGGCGCCAGCCGCGCCCGCGCTCCCGCACGCCGGCCCGTGCCGCGCGCGCACGCCGGGTGCCGGGCGAGATCGGCGCCCGCGCGCGCGATCGGGCGGGCGTCGGAGCCGCCGCGCGCGGGAGCCGCACCGCGGTCGCGTGTCCGTCGGCCGCGCCAGCGCGCCGCGCAGGCTCTCGGTCCGCGTGTGTTTTTTCCCCTCGCGTCCTTCCTCGTGCGTCCCTTCCTCCGTCTGCCCGTCTCCCTCCCTGCGCCTCTTCGACTCGTGCCTGGCGTCTCCCCGTCTCGTGCCTCCCTTTCGCCTCCTCCCCCACCCCTCCCATCGCTCCCTCCCTCCCTTCGCCCACAGTCCCCTCCCTCCATCCCTCCCTCTTCTCGTTCCTCCTTCCCCCCTGTGCTGGGGATGCCCTGAAGCGCGATTGACTGGGCCGCGTAGGCAGCTGTACGTGCTCGCGATGATGTTCGGCCACCTTCTCCGCAACGTGGACGCTAGATTCCAACTGGAAGGGGGGGGCCAGGCGGGGCAGGAGGAGGTGAAGGAGGAGGGGGAGGGGAACGGGAACGAGAGGGAAAATGACAATCAGGAGCAGGAGGAAGAGAAGAATGATGACGAGGAGAAGCGGAAAGGTTAGGATGAGGATTGGATGAACATGAAGAGCAGGAAGCGGAGGAAGAGGGAGAGGAGAAGGAGGAATGGAGGAGGAGGAGGAGGAGGAGGAGGAGTTGACAAAGAGGGGTAGGACGAGGAAGGGCATACCCAGCCAGGTCAGGTAGGAAAGGCAGAACCTCCCAGTCCTCCGGCCACGTTCACCGTCTCACGCCCGCGGAGACTGCAGACGCCACAGGAGCCTGGCAACGGCTGCGGCAATCGGGGCAGACTGGGAAGGCTCAGCGCAGTCACCGACGACGTCTGGCGTCAGATGCGGTGTCCCAGACATGCGCCAGCCCGACCCCAGCAAGAGTTTAGCGCCCCGGGCTCGCGAGTGAGAGCCCCCCGAAGGGGGCCCAAACAGTGGCCAAGCAGTGGCCTGATATGTGCTTAACATTGCCCTGGCATCGCTCGGACGTGCGCATTTTTCCTTCGGCGAGGACCATCGAGGAGCATCCTTGATCATTTGGCGAAAAAACCACGCACGAAACCGAAAAAAAACAGGAAATGGACGTCCGAGCGATGGCCAGTTGCCCAGATCCGAGGAAGCGCAGCAGCCCGCGGCGGAGCGAAATGCAGTCGGCAACTCGTGGCAGGGATTGCGCAGCATTTGGATGCGGTGGTCGGCGGCGCTTTTTTTTTGTTGTTTCCGAGGGGGCGTTCGAAGCGCGTTGTTTTCTCGCAGGGGCTTTTGGCTTGCATTGGGGGTGCGCTGGTCACCGACCACCAAGCCACCCCAACCCAACCCGAAGGCCCCGATTTGCCCTCCATTTCCAGTGGGAGGGGGTCGGAGAACATGGAAAAAGCACATGTGAAGTCCGTACCACCCCCAACCCGAAATTCGGGTCTTCGGGTTGAGTTAGGGTGGTTTCATGGGTGGTCAGTTGGCGGTGTGCCCCTGGAGGTCACCCGGAGGCCTTCTCCGAGCTACGCCCAGACAGGGCCCCCAGGCTGTTTCTCCGAGACTCCTCAGCGTCAGAGGATCTGCTGTCCACCTGCCGAGGAAGGGACCGGGCCGCCCAGCCTCGCCGCCCGCAGAGGCAGCCGCGCGAGCGCAGAGGCCCCTGGAGGTCCAGGGAGGCACCTGGAGGCGTCGGGAGGTTCGCGGAGTGCCGAACACTTCCACGAACCTAGGGCAAGCAGGTACGAGATCTTCGCGCCCCAGGGCAAAACACTGCGAGCAGCGTCGAGGAGGAGGAGGAGGAGGAGGAGGAGGAGGAGGAGGAGGAGGAGGAGGAGGAGGGGGAGGAGGGGGAGGGGAAGGAGGGGGAGGGGGAGGGGGAGGAGGGGCAGGAGGAGGGGGAAGGGAGGGAGGGAGGAGGAGGAGGAGGAGGAGGAGGAGGAGGAGGAGGAGGAGGAGGAGAAGGAGGAGGAGGAGGAGGAGGAGGAGGCGGAGGGGGAGGAGGAGGAGAAGGAGAAGGGGGAGGAGGAGGAGGAGGGGGAGGCGGAGGAGGAGGAGGAGGAGGAGGAGGAGGGAGGAGGAGGAGGAGGAGGACCTCCCCCTCGCGCGACGCCCGGGGAGGAGAAGTCCCTTGGCGCGGCCGCGGGGCGCAGCCTCCAGAGGTACCTGGAGGGCTTCGCGCCGAGGCAGCTGGAGGACATGGCCCGCTTTGCCTCCCTGGAGGCCCCCTGCTCGGCCGAATGGAGGGCTGAGAGGGCTCCTCCTCCTCCTCCTCCTCCTCCTCCTTCCTCTCTTTCCTCCTCCTCCTCTCTCCTCCTCCTCCTCCTCCTCCTCCCTCCTCCTCTCCTCCCTCCTCTCCTCCTCCTCCGACGGCGACGACGACGACGATGGGAGGGAGGGAGGAGGGAGGGAGGGAGGCAGGGAGGGAGGGTGGGGAGGGAGGGAGGGAGGGAGGGAGGGGGAGGGAGAGAGGGAGGGAGGGAGAGAGGGAGGGAGGGTGGAGGGGAAATACGAGACTGTTTAGGGGGCTTTCTATTTTTCCCCACAACCATGATGTGGTGTTGGGTCTTCGTTTTGAAAAGACGGTTCCCGCGTTCTCTTCTACTTTCCTCCCCCCCCTCCTCCCTCCTCCCGTCACCCCCCTCACTTTGGCACACCCCTCACACGTTTCGTGGCCCCATAAGGAGCTCCACCGAAGGCCATAGTGGGGATGTCCGCATGCGGTCCCCACGCGCATTTTGGCACACCCATCACACGTTTCGGGGCCCCATATAGGGAGCTCCACCGAATGCCCTAGTGAGGGTGCCCGCATGCGGTCCCCGTACCCATTCCGGTACACCCCTCACATTTTTACCTAACAGCTTGTTCTGATAGGTTTCTAATGGTGTCAAAAGAGAGCAGCAGATGACTCCACAGGGGGGTCTGGGCGGGTGCCGGACAGGGTGCCGCAGAAGTCGTTTTAAGCAAACAGTCACACACTTCGTGCTCTTCGACCTCCCAGAACTCCATTCCCGGGCCACATTCTGAATGCCCGGAGCCAACTGTAGGCCACTTCGTGCTCTTCGACTTCCCAGAACTCCATTCCCGGGCCACATTTTGAATGCCCGGAGCCAACTGTAGGCCACTTCGTGGTCTTCGAGTCCCCAGAACTCCATTCCCGGGCCACATTTTGAATGCCCGGAGCCAACTGTAGGCCACTTCGTGCTCTTCGAGTTCCCAGAATTCCACTCCCGGGCCACATTTTGAATGCCCGGAGCCAACTCTAGGCCACTTCGTGCTCTTCGAGTTCCCAGAACTCCATTCCAAGGCCACATTTTGAATGCCCGTAGCCAACTGTATGCAACTTCGTGCTCTTCGACTTCCCAGAACTCCCATTCCTGGGCCACATTTTCAGCAGGGGCAAGAGCACGACGAGGAGGAGGACGAGCGAGACCAGGAGGACGAGGACGAGCAGGAGCAGGACGAGGAGCAGGAGGAGCAGGAGAAGAAGGGGAATCTCAAGGGGAATGCTCCCATAGAGTTTTTTTGGCAGAGTTCACAGAGTTTTTTCCTCTGCATTCGTCGACAACTGGATTCTCATCTGAATCTCAAGGGGAATGCTCCCATATATGTTTCTACACATGCTGGAAGCATATCTGGAAACGAGACACTGCTATCAACAAGCAAAAAATGTGGCCCGGGTATGGCGGGCCACGAAGAACACGAACGAGCCACCTCTGCGGATGGCGGCGGGGGGGGCGCCGCCGCCGCCGCCGTCGCCGCCGCCACCGCCGTCGTCGACGTCACCTTTTTTGTCGCTGCCTTTTCGTCGAGATGCTGTTCGACCCAGAGATGCTCCTACACATGGCTGTTAGGTTGCTTTGCCGGGATAATTCGTGGCCCCATAGGGAGCTCCACCGAAGGCCCCAGTGGGGGTGCCCGCATGCTGTCCCCGCACCCATTTTGGCACACCATTCACACGTTTCGTGATCACATTGGGAGCTCCAGCGAAGGCCCTAGTGGGGGTGCCCGCATGCGGTCCCCACACCCATTCCGGCCCACCCCTCGCACGCTTCGTGGCCCCATAGGGAGCTCCACCAACGGCCCCAGTGCCACCGTCCACTTGCGCCCCCCGTACCCATTTCGGCACACCCCTCACACGTTTCGTCACCCCATATTGAGCCCCAGTGCCACCGTCCACATGCGTCCCCCGCACCCATTTCGGCACACCCCTACACGCTTCGTGGCCCCATACAGATCTCCACCGAAGGCCCCAGTGCCACCTTACACTTGCGTCCTCCACACCCATTTCGGCACACCACTCACACGTTTCGCCACCCCTTGGTGAACCCCACCGAAGGCTCCAGTGCCACAGCCCGCATGCGTTCCCCACACCCATTTCGGCACACCCCTCACACGTTTCGTGGCCCCATAGTGAGCTCCACCGAAGGCCCCAGTGCCACCGCCCACATGCGTCCTCCACACCCATTTCGGCACACCCCTCAAACGTTTCGCTACCCCATAGTGAACTTCACCGAAGGCTCCAGTGCCACAGCCCGCATGCGTCCGTCGGCACATCCCTCACAAGATTCGTGGCCCCATAGAGAGCTCCACCGAAGGCCCCAGTGCCACCTTCCACTTGCATCCTCCACACCCATTTCGGCACACCGCTCACACGCTTCGCCACCCCATAGTGAACTTCACCGAAGGCTCCAGTGCCACAGCCCGCATGCGTCTGTCGGCACACCCCTCACAGGATGCGTGGCCCCATAGGGAGCTCCACCGAGGGCCCCAGTGCCACCGTCCACTTGCGTCCTCCATACCCATTTCGGCACACCCCTCACAGGGTTCGTGGCCCCATGGGGAGCGCCACCGAAGAAAATATTCACAACTTCGGCACGCACAACTGCATATGGTTGGGTCTTTCGCCAGGCTAAGTTTGTTTTTTCTCTCTCTCTCTCTCTCTCTTTCCTCTCTCTCTCTCTTTCCTCTCTCTCTCTTTTTTTCTTTCTCACTCTTTCTTTTTCCCAACCATCCTGTGGTGTTGGGTCCTCGTTTTGTAAAGACGGTCCCCGCGTTCCCCTCCTCTATTCCTCTTCCCCTCCTCCCTCCCCCCGTCACCCCCCTCACTTTGGCGCACCCCTCACACGTTTCGTCGCCCCATAGGGAGCTCCACCGAAGGCCCTAGTGGGGGTGCCCGCACGCGGTCCCCACAGCCATTTAGGCACACCCCTCACACACTTCGTGGCCCCATACGGAGCTCCACCGAAGGCCCTAGTGGGGGTGCACACGCATTTCGGCACACCCCTCACACTTTTCATGGCCTCATAGGGAACTCCACCGAAGGCCCCAGTGCCACCGCCCACATGCGTCCCCCACACCCATGTCGGCACACCCCTCACACGCTTCGTGGCCCCATGGGGAGCTCCAGCGAAGGCCCCAGCGCACATGCGCCCCCCACACCCATTTCGGCGCACCCCTCACATGTTTCGTGGCCCCGTATAGGGGGCTTCACCGATGGCTCCAACGCCACCGTCCACTTGCGCCCTCCACACCCATTTCGGCACACCACTCACACGTTTCGCCACCCCCTAGTGAACTCCACCGAAGGCTCCGCCTGCATGCGTCACCCACACCCATGTCGGCACACCCTCCACACGCTTCGTGGCCCTATATGGGGGCTCCATCGAAGGCCCTAATGCCACCGTCCACATGCGTGGGCTGCACCCATTTCGGAATTCCCTCACAGGGTTCGTGGCCTCATAAGGGGGCGCCACCGAAGAAGATATTCACAATTGCAGTACGCACACCTGCATGTGGTTGGGTCTTTGGCCAGGCTAACGCTTGTGTGTCTCTCTCTCTCTCTCTCTGTGTTTCTGTCTCTCTCTCTCTCTCTCTCTGTTTCTCTCTCTCTCTCTCTCTCTCTCTCTGGATGGGCCCATATCAAAAATAATCAGACGAAGGGTGGGGTCCATCTCTAACCGATTCCGATTCAGGGTAAGGCCATCCGTGTTGAAAACTTGCACTGGATGTTTTCACCTCTAAGAGGACCCTATCAGAGGTGGATCCACCTCTACTGTCCTTTCAAAATTTAGATTCGATGCACCTCCGATAGAATCCGTTTAGAGGTGGAGCGATCTCTGACATAACCCCTAACAAGGATGGGGCCACCTGAGGGATGGACCCACTTATGATTGAATCATATGTGGAATGGGGCAACCTTCTATAGTATCCGATTTTGAGGGTGGAGCCACCTCAGACGTAATCCCACTGGTGATGTTAACCTTCTGATACAATCTTTTGAGGGACTGGTCAACCTCTAATAGCGTCCTAATAGGGATGGGCCCACCTTGAATCCAGTATTATTAGGTATGACGCCTTCTCGAATGAAACCCGATCAGGGATACCAGTAAGATCGGCCTCGCCTCTAACAGAAATCTAGCAGGTCTGGGGCCACCTGCAATATAATCAAAGCAGGGATGGAGGCACCTCTAATGTAATCCGAGTAGGGAAGGCCGATCTCTAATATAATCCTATTAGAGGTGGGCCCACCAAAAACAATCTTCTTAATGGCAATGCAATCGTTAAGGTCCATACGATCAATGAAGGACTCGCATGTATCCGAATCCTATCAGCGGTGGATCCACCTCTAAAGAAACCCTGTTAAGGATGGAGCCACGTGTACAAACAAACATCCATTAAAGGTGGGCCCGCCTCTATTCGAATCCCGTTAGAAGCGGGCCCACCTCGAATAGAAATTGATTGAGAACGAAACCATTTAGAATCTAAAATTATTAGACGAGGACCCACCTATTTGCATCCGATTGGAAATGGAACCACCTCTGGTAGAATCCAGGGTCCCTGGGGCCACCTGCGACTAACCACTGCGATGGCTAAGCTCTGTTGGCCCCTGCTAAGCCCTCTTAGGCCTAGCCGAACCCTGCTAGGCACTGTGGCCCTCTGCTAAACCTTGATCGGTTTTGGCAGCCACCTGCCAGGCCCAGCTAAGCCTTGATACGCCCTATCAAGGCCGCCTGCTAGCCCCTGATTTGCCTGCTGAGACTTGCCAATATTTGCTAACACCTGCTAGCCTTATTAAGTTCTGCCAGCACCCCGGCAGCCTGCTAAGCCATGCGATGCCTGCTAAGCCATGCGGAGCCACATCAAAGATAATCTCACCAGGGGTGAACACATTGCGACTGGAATCCTATTAGAAGTGGATCCACCTTTAACAGAATTTTGTCAAGGATGAAGCATTTTGTAATACTATCAGCGCAATGAGGGATTCAGCTCGAATCGAAGCACATGAGGGTGGATCCACCTCTATTGGGATCCTGTTTAGTGACGGGGTCACGGATAATTAAACTGCATGCAGTGTGGATTCCCTTCGAATGGGATCCCATTAGAGGTGGATCCACTTCCAATACAACTCTATGAATATGGAAGCACCTGGGGTATAATCATATTAGATGTGGACCCACTTCTATTAGAATCATAGTGGGAACGGAACGGCCTCGAATATAATTAATCCCATCAGGGGTGGATCCACTGCTCTTTGGATTCGATTAGAGGTGGATGCGATCCACCTTTTTCAACATCGGATTAAAGGCCAAGCCGTTTGCAATACATTTCTAAGGGTTGATACAGTTCACACAGTAGAATTCAATAGGTAAACCCTACACCCTCAAGACGAAAAACACCACGTATTGAGCAAACTCGAGTGGTGCCATTGCGAAAGACAATGTAACGATACCATGCCGAACGATGTAAGCGAGCCTGGCGCAAGCTTGCGCGAGCGCCAGATGGGCGCGCCGAAGCATATCCAACGCTCCGAGCGAGCCAGCGCGAGCGGAAGCGGCTCCGGAACGGCACGACAAGCATTCCGTGCGAGCTGGCACGAGCGGGAGCAGCTCCGGAGCGGCCCGACAAGCATCCCGTGCGAGCCGGCACGAGCAGGAGCGGCTCCGGAGCGGCCCGACCAGCATTCCGTGTAAGCCTGCGCGAGCGGGCGCGGCTCTGGGGCGGCCCGGTAAGCATTCCGCGCGAGCCTGCACGAGCGGAAGCGCCTTCGGGATGGCCCGACAAGCGCTCCGCGCAAGCCGTCGCGACGCGAATCCGACGCGTTTTGCGAGTGATCGCGGCATCGGCGGGCCCGAAATCTAGCCGTCGCGACGCGAATCCCACGTGTTTCACGCAGGATCGTAGCCAAGCCGACTGGCGGGGACCAATTGGCACCGCCGCGAGGTCCGCAGACACTAATGCGTTGTCTTGTTCTGCGCCGCCTCCTTCTTCTTTTTCTTCTCCGTCTTCTCCCTCTCCCTCTTGTCCGCCTCCTTGATGGCCTGGCGCTCCTCCGCCGTGGTGCTCCGTCCGCAGCACGCCCCGGTGCCACGCCGCCAGCAGCTTCCGGACGCTGGGTTTTGGCATTGCTGCCGCCGCGGCTCTGCTGGCAACCCTGCGGATTTGAACCGAATTGTTAGGAACGCCCCCGCTCGGATTCGAGCCGCCGACGCCCAGGTTCTGCTCCTCTGCCCAAGCCGCGCGCCAAATCGGCCCGGTGCCCGTTCCCCCCAGAATCTCACGTCCTCGGTTCCCGAATCGGTTTCCGAGGCGGCGCCGAAAAAAAAACCATTCCAGTACACATTTTTCTTTCGAAAATGCTGAATTTCTGATTCCGGCGCGCGGGAGGTGGTCCGAGCCGATTCCGGCGCCCAGCTCGGCGTCCGAGCCAGCGCTCAGGCCGAACGCCCGAACCGGCGCCCGCGCCGAGGTCCTCCCAGGCCCTCCCGGCACGCTCGGCACTCGCCCAAACGCTCCCAGACGCTCCCAGACGCTCCCAGGCGCTCCCAGGAGCGCCGGAAGGCCCCCACTCGGATTCGAACCGCCGACGCTCGGGTTCTGCAAACCGCGCGCCAAATCGGCCCGGTGCCCGTTCCCCCGAGAACCCCACGTCCTTGGTTCCGGAAGCTCGGTTTCCGAGACGGCGCCCCAAAAAAAACCATTCCAATACACATTTTTCTTTCGAAATGCTGAATTTCTGATTCCGGCGCCCGGGAGGTGGTCCGAGCCGATTCTGGCGCCCGGCTCGGCGTCCGAGCCAGCGCCCAGGCCGAACGCTCGAAGCGGCGCCCGCGCCGAGGTCCCCCCAGGCCCTCCCGGCACGCTCCCAGCACTCTCCCAAACGCTCCCAGACGCTCCCGGGCGCTCCCAGGTGCTCCCAAGCGCTCCCTTAGCGCCGGAAGGCCCCTATGCGGATTCGAGCTGCCGACGCTCGGATTCTGCTCCTCTGCCCAAACCGCGCGCCAAATCGACCCGGTGCCCGTTTCCCCTAGAACCCCACATCCTCGGTTCCGGAAACTCGGTTTCCGAGACGGCGCCGCAAAAAAGGCCATTCCAATACACATTATTCTTTCGAAAATGCTGAGTTTCTGATTCCGGCACCCAGGAGGTCCGAGCCGATTCCGGCGCTCGGCTCGGCGTCCGAGCCAGCGCCCAAGCCGAACGCCCGAACCACCGGCGCCCGGTTCGGCACGCTCCCAGGCGCTCCCGGCTCGCTCCCAGCCCCCGCTCGGATTCGAACCGCCGCCGCTCGGGTTCTGCTCCTCTGCCCAAACCGCGCGCCAAATCGGCCCAGTGCCCCTTCCTCCCAGAACCCCACGTCCTCGGTTCCGGACAATCGGTTTCCGAGGCGGCGCCGAAGAAAAGGCCATTCTAATACACATTTTTCTTTCGACAATGCTGAATTTCTGAGTCCGGCGCCCAGGATGTTCCGAGCCGATTCCGGCGCCCGGCTCGGCGTCCGAGCCAGCGCCCAGGCCGAACGCCCGAATTGGCTCCCGGGTCGGCGCCTGGGCCGGCGCCGGCGCAGGGTCCGGAAGCGGCGCCCATCGCATCGGCAGGCCCGAGATCTTGCCGCCGCGACGCGAATCCCACGTGTTTGACGAGGCATCGCAGCCAAGCCGATTGGCGGGGACCAATTGATACCGCTACGAGGTCCGCAGACGCTAACACGTTGTGCGAACCCTAAACGCAATAAAAATAAATGTGTACACCCCCCACGAAAGTTGCACGACCGCAGAGTAGTACAGAAGGAATTCTAGGTGTAATCCGCACTAGAAATCGATTCGCAAATCGCCCACAAGAACCAATCACACATAAAAGCCGCACAAGAAGGTTTTATTTGCAATGCGCAAAATAGAAATAAAGTTGAAAATCGCTCACGGGGAATCCGGCTGAAAAACCGCACAACAAGGATTCTATGTGCAACCCACGCACTAGAATTCAATGTGTAAATCCCACTCAGCGATGTCCTTTGAAAGGGAGCCAGACAAAGTGTTTGACCCTCCAGAGAGGAAACAACAACAAACAAATTAGCGAAAAACCGTTGCCCCCGCCATGTTTTTTTTTTTTTTGTTTGCTCGCGCCCGCCCCGCCTCCGAACAAAAAGAGAGAGAGGGGGCGACGGTTTCTCGTTTAATTTGGTGTGTGTTTTTCTCGGGGCGGGGGCGGGCGCGACAAAAAAGAAGAAGAAGAAGAAGAAGAAGAAGAAGAAACAGAAGAAGAAGAAGAAGAAGAAGAATAAGAAAATGGAGGGGGCGTTGGTTTTTCGTTTTTTTTGTTGGTTGTTTTTTTTGGTTCCAGGGAGTCCAGAACTTTTTCTGGCTTCCTTTCAAAAGGAATTCTCGTGGGCGATGCCCAACATGATTTCTATCGTATGGGTTACAGTTTACAAATGCAATCCTGTGTGTGCGGCTTTTCACTCAGATTCCTTTTGTTGGCGATTTACGAACCGATTGCCATTGCGCGGGTAAACCTATTGTGAGGCTTTGCATTCGGATTCCTGTTGTGGGCGATTTGTAAATTGATTTCTAGTGCGTGGATTCCAACAAGAATTCTTGCGTGCGGCTATTCAATCGGATTATATTGCACGGTTAGGTGACGACGAAGAGGATGAGAGAGAACAAAAGACATGACCGAGACAAGGAACACAAACCGAACAATCAAACGAATGCCAACTTATCAACATACACCACGAAAATGTTTCCCAAATAGTCCCAGATGTCCCCCTTACGGGAGCGAGGGGGGAGGGAGGGAGGAGGAGGAGGGCGAGGGGAGGGAGGGATTTGGGGTTTGGGGGGAGCCGCAGGGTGGAGGGAGGCCGAATGGAGGGAGGAGAGGGCGCGAGGGGAGGGGAGGGGAGGCGAGGGGGGATGACGACGAGGGAGGGAGGGTTGGGGGGGAGGGGAGCGGCCGGGCGGAGGCTGGCAGGGGGAGGGGTGGGAGGGAGAGGGGGTTTCTGCGGGCGCGGCGACTTCTCGCCGATCGACTTGTGGGGATCAGGCCAGACAAATTGAGGCGAAGGCAGATACATCGAGGGACATCCGGGCAAATCCAGGCAAGTCGGAGTGACTCCACAGAGTTTCCCCAGGACGTTCGGAGCAGCTCGTGGCTACTCCGGCGCGAGAGTCGAGGGACGGCAGAGGTAGGTCGTTAAGCCCTTAACGAAGGGCGGCGGGGAGGATTGGAAGAGTGGCCCCCCGGCCTGGAGCGAGGCGCAGCTGGCCGCCGAGCTGCACGTGCGTGGGCTATTCGGCGACCTCCGGGCCAAGAAGGAGGAATTGCTGGGCATGCTGGCGCAGGAGGCTGCTCGGGGAGGACAGAAAGGGCTCATATATATATATATATATACACATACACATATACATATACACATACAGAATATATATATATATATATATATACACACACATCTAGGCTTCCCAGATGGGATCCGAGCAGATGGGGTCGGAGGATCGCGCCGCATCGCCGATGCATCAACGATGCGGCTCGATGTGGAGTCCGTGTCTCTCCACGCCGACGCCGCGGATGTATCGCCGGTGTCGCCAGTGCATGGCCGATGCATCGGCGATGCATCACTGATGTATTGGTGACGCGGCGCGATCCTTCGACCCCGTCTACTCGGACCCCATCTAGGAGGCCTCTAATACACGTGTGTATGTATGTATGTATGTATGTATGTATGTATGTATGTATGTATGTATGTATATATATATATATGTATATATATATATATGTATATATATATGTCATATATATATGTCATATATATATGACATAAATATATATATATATATATATATCTATATAGATCCGTAAGGGCTTCGCCCCCTGCTGCCCCTCTCTATCATAATGGGATACATCAGCGTCGCGTCGGTGCGTCTCGGCGCTGTCTTGGCACATCTGGGAACATCATGCGGGGGCGGATACGAATCATCAACGCATACTGAGACGTTGGCGTTACCGAAGACGCATACGGCGAATCACCGCCGCCCCCGGCCTTCTGGAATCGCCAGTGTGGCCGAGCGTTGTGGCAAGAGCTCTGCCAAGCTATCGGGCCATGTGTTCTCCCAGCCCTTGTGGAAGCCTTTCGGGGAACGCTTGGGGGAAGATGGCGGGGAAGATCAGGAGGAGGAGGAGGAGGAGGAGGAGGAGGAGGAGGAGGAGCGGGCCTCTGGGGGCACTCTTGGGGCCTCCTTGGAGCTTCTTGGGACCTGGGGGCCTTTTGGGGGTATCTTGGGGGCCTCCTTGGGCCTCTCAGTGGCCTTCATATAGGGGCTTCTCGGGGTCCTCCTTGGTCGTCTCAGGGCCGACTTGGGGCCCTCTTGGGGTCGGTGCTCCAGGGCCATCTTGGACGCCATCTTGGGCGTCTTCTCGGGCCGTCTTGGGGCCCTCTTGGGACCGTCTTCGGGGCCTCTTGGGCCGTTCTGGGGTCATCTTGGACGGCCTCTTGGGCGATCTTGGGGTGACGTTTGGAGGTTTGTGGGCCCTCTCGGGCCGTCGGAAGATCGAAAAGACGCAACGGCCCAAGTCCTTCAAAACCGAGTGAACATCAATGATTTGGGCCTCTTTGGGCCTTCTTAGAGGCCTTCTTGGAGGCTTCTGGGGCCGTCTTGGGGACCACCTGAACGCCTCTTGGGCCGTCTTAGAGCAATCCTGGCCTGTCCGACGCCGTCGGAAGCCGCCGTCTTGTGGCCTCTCTGGGCCGACTTGAGGCCCTCTTGGGGTGATCCAGGGACGTCTTGGAGGCCATCTTGGGCGTCTTGAAGGCCTCTTTGGGCCCTGTTGAGACCGTCTTGGGGGCGTCTTGGGCCTTTCTGGGGCCATCTTGGCGCCTTTTGGGCGATCTTGGGGCGACGTGTGGGGGCTCGTGGGCCGTCTCGGGCCGTCGGAAGGCCGAGCAGAAGCAAATGCCAGAATCCTTCAAAAACCGACGGAAAATCCATGATTGTGGCCTCTTCGGGCTTCCTGGAGAACCTTTTGGGAGCCTCTTGGGCTGTCTTGGGCCGTCTAAGAGTCGTTTTTGCCCGTCAGACGCCGTCGGAATCCGCTTGAGGGCCTCTCTGGGCCGACTTGGGGCCCTCTTGGGGTGCTCCAGGGCCGTCTTGGAAGCCATCTTGGGCGTCTTGGAGCCCTCTTGGGGCCGTCTTAGGGGCCTATTAGGCCGTGGTGGGCCATTTTGGACACCTCCTGGGCGGTCTTGGGGCGATCTTTGGGGGCTCTTGGCCGTCTCGGGCCTTCGGAGGACCGAAGAGAAGCAAATGCCAGAATCCTTCAAAACCGAAGGAACATCAGTGATTTTGGCCTGGAGGACCTCTTGGAGGTCTCTTGGGCCATCTTGGAGGCCTCTTGGGGGCCTCTTGGGCGGTCTTGGACCATCTTGAGGCCATCTTTTGCCGTCGTGGACGCATCTTGGGCTGTCTTGCAGGCATCTTGGGGCCATCTTAACCATCCTGGAGGCCATCTTGGAGTCCATCTTGGGCCATCTTGGCGGTCTTGAAAGCCATCTTGAGCCGTCTTGAGGTTTTTGTGGTGAGAATTGGGCATCTTCCGGGTGGCTGGCGGGACGGGCCCGAGCCCCGGGGGAGTTCGTGTGGAAAAAAACAAAAACCAAGAGCGATAGGATTCAGCACGCCGGGCACCCCTGTGGCAAGCCAGCAGGGGGCGGCGGATCGAAGACGCCTACGGCGAATCACCGCCGCCCCATGCCTTTCTGGAAACGCCTATGTGGACGAACATTGGGCTAAAATTAGGCCAAGCTATCGGATCATGTGCTCCCCGAGTCGGTCTGGAAAGCCTTGGGGAACAC